AGGGTTGCGATCCCGTTGCCGGTCCCAGTCCGGTACGGGCGTGACACTGAGGGTTGCGATCCGTTGCCGGACACGAAAAAAAAAAAACACAGTAAATATATAGTTAAACTTAATGAATGTTGATAATAGTGTTATAAATCATAGTGCAATTCTTATGAGAAGATTACTGAAGTAATGATGACACATAAGAAGAGAAACTAATAATGACCTAGAATTAAAATTCTTCCTTTTTTCAATAAAACAAGTAAAGGATATTTTGGTAAGAAAAATGGGAGTGTTGTCTAGTTATTACTTATTTTTACATTAATAGATAAATGCAGGTTAAAATATGTGTACATAATAGGCTACAGACAAGTGGCAGCAGTTCCAAATTACCAGAAAGAAAGGGTAACAAAGGAAAATTGCTCAATTCAGAAAAAGCAAAAGACATACAACACGAAAATATAGCAAAGAAAAACCAAAAACTTAAATAAAATGATAGGAATAAAATCAAATACAAGGATACTTCTACTAGTTTGTGGAAAAATAGAATCTAAAGATAATACAAATCTTTCCATGATCTTTAAAAACTACCCTCCCCTGTCAATGATCAAAATAAACATCAATAGGGTAAATAAATCTGAATTTAAATTGTCAGATTGGATTAAAAAGCAAAACCTACTCTGTTTTGTGTGTGTGTGTGTGTGTGTGTGTGTGTGTGTGTGTGTTATTAGGATTTCTTCCACTTTATCTTCCAGAATATTAACACAGATCTCCCTGACCATGACATAAAACATTTCTAGCATCTCTCAAGATTTCCTTACCCTCCCCTTCCCCAGGCCTCCCTGCCCCCATGAAAAATAACCATTATTCTCACTTTTAAAATCATCAACCAACTTTTCCTGTTCTTGAACCTCACATAAATGAAATCGTACAACATGCACCCTTTCATGTCTGGTTTCTTTATCCCAGCACAATGTCTTTGTAATTCATTCACAGTTTTGCTTGTATAACTAAACCATATTTTTTATGGCTATATATGCTCACTATATATAGTAATTTCATTGTATGAAATTAGTAGTTTGGGTTCTTTTCTTTCCAGTTTGAGGCAATCATGAATAAAGCTGTAATTAATATTCTTGTACATGTGGCTATATGCATTCACTTCTCTTAGGTAAATACCTAGGAATGGAATTGATGAGTCACAGTGTCAATATATATTTATCTTTCATAGATACTGTTAAAAAGTTTTCTGATGTGGTTTTATCAATTTACATTCCCACCAGCTGTGAATGTGAGTTCCAGTTGTTCTACTTCTTCACCAACACTTGGTACTAGCAGTCTTTTTAATTTACCTTTCCACAGCTCTTTGATTATATTTCTAAGTCCATCTGTTTTTCAAAGTTGTTGCAGCTGGAGAAATGCCCTGCTATTACTCACTACAACTATATCCTAGATAGAAGCAGAAGTGTTCTCATTACCTCTGTTTTCTTGCATCTCTTTCACTAATTCTGATCCAATAGCATCCCTTTATCATTCAGCTTTGTCTTCTGTTATTATGCATGATATCCCATTAATTTTTCTCTGCTTACTCACAGATGGGATTCCTTTACCACCCACAGTGTCCAGGCTCTGAGGGTTTCTTGGTAGCCAACCAGCAAGTGGTGAAATACACAGCTTGATGGTCCAGCTA